TACATAAAAATAAATAACATAATTTATTTAAATTAATTTATATACATATAAATTCATATATATATATATATATATTAAATATATATTAAATATTAAATTACTTATAACTAATAAAACACACACGTATATATATATATTATTTATAATTATAATTACTTTTATTTTAATATACATATTAGTTATATATATATGTTACATGTATAACTAATATATATACATATACATATTATTTTTAATAGATATATTATATGTGTATGTGTTAGTTATAATTATTTTTATTGTAATATATATATCTATATGTGTGTGTTTTATTAGTTATAAATAATTTTATATTTAATATATAGATAATTTTGATGATGTGTACATAATTTGGAAGCCAAGTCATTGTCACATCATCATTTTTGTTTGAGTTGGCAGACACGGGGGGTTTTCGGTGAATTATTAACAAGTTTAAAGTTTTATTGGTTAATCAGATTAAATATAGAGTTTAATTGATAAAGAAAAAAGTATAGGATTTTTTCGTTGATATGGGAAGAATACATAGTTTTTATATATGGCGATTTCCTCTTAAGAAAACCTCAGAATTTTTTAAAAAAAGGGAGCATAGGCCCAACGCCTAAGCCTAATGTATGTAAATAGAAAACAAAATATGGGTGTAGGCCCAATCAATAGGGGATTGGCATTGCCACTTGTAAAATGATCAGAATGGCCCAAACAAATTCAGCCTTTCCAAACCCAATTATAAATGGGCTTTTAAGGTCCAAGTTCTTACTGGGAGGATGGATGACGAATTCTCTATTAGCCAACCCTAATGGTTAATAATTGCATTTTTTCCCCGGTAATTATAATACATACATCGTCAGAGCAAACATTGAAAAAAAAATTTCACGTAAACCTGGACATTTCGGGTTTCTGATTGAATATATTTGGTTTCAATTATTTCGATTATAGAAAAACTGTAATTATTTGGATTTTATATATAAATTTCAGTTCAAATCTCTGTTCGATTTCTATAAAAAAAAATTATCGGATTTTTTGGTTATTTTTTAATTCGGTTCGATTTTAGTTTTTTTAGATTTAAAGAAATCATAACTGTGTGATTTTGATGTTGTGTTTGATTTTGATGTCGGATTCGATTTAGATATAGAGTTATACCTTATTCGGTTCGGTTTGATTCGATTATGTGGATATCGAAATGGTCAGATATCCTGGACTGGAAAACGGTGTCGTATGATTGACCTCACCTCACGGAGTTTCTTTCTTCGCTGAAAACTTTTCTGCTAGTTGTCTTCGTTAATCTCTTGCCCAGTTTTTCCCCTCTGGTTGGTTCCTTCCTTCCTTCGTCCAAGAAAGCGCGAGAAAATTTCTCCCTTGTTTTTCTTGGTTATAACCCTCCATCCGTTCGATTAGCAGTCCTCTGCTTTCACGGAGGCACCTGTTTTCTCTTTCCGAGAACGTTTCTAGGGCTTACGCCGATCAGAGTCATCGTTTATTCGTTTCCGTCTCGGTGGATACTAGCAACAGCTGTTTTCTGGATTTTTAGTTGGGTTTAACTATTGGTTTTTTCGAGTTTTCTCGGGAAAATGTTCTTTACCGGCGATCCGACGACTCGGAAGCGAGTCGATTTGGGTGGCCGAAGCACGAAGGAGAGAGATGCGCAGAAACTTCTCGAACAGACCAGAAAGGAGCGGAATCGTCGACTTATGCAGAGGCAGCAGAACTCAGCGGCCCTCAAAATTCAGGTGTTTTTTTTTCTGTTGTGTTAGTTTCATGTCCGTTTTCCATTTCACTATTCTGATCGGCGCCTTAAATGCGTTTGTTGTGTCTTTGGGAAGAATGAACTTGGAGTATGCTAGAGTAGGCGTTTTTTCCCGGAAATGTGGGGGTTGTTTCAGTGTTTTAAGCAAATTTAGAATGCACTTGCTGAGGCACTTGGCAAAAACAGCTGTTGAGCTGAATTGTGTGAACTTTGTCTGCCTCTTACGATCTGTTTGGGGTTTAGTCAGAGGTGACAACATATCCCTGATGCTTCAGAATTCCAGTGAACTGATAGTTTTGGGTCACGGACTAAATTAGAAAGGTGTCTTGTTAGAAAAAAAACAATGTAGGGCGCATGGGTTTTGTTTGGGGGATAACTGTGTTGGGGTTTATTAGCCATTACACGACCATGAAATGCTGGTTTGAGTTGTAAATGATGCAGTTTGATCCAGTATTTGCACTTTACGTGGACTAGGTGGAGTTGTTTGGCCAAAACAAAGTCTTTTCCGCCTTTTAGGATTTTGCATTGATGCCCCTTGCGAGAGCCGGTGTGTTGACTAATATATATGATTACAGAAATTCTTTAGAGGCAGAAAATCAATGGCCACTGAGCGCTCCAAGGTGCGGCAAGATTTCTGCAAAACCTATGGGAATAAATGCCAGAATGTAGATAGGTGATCCATCCCTTTTATCTATTGGTCTTTCACGTCCTGTCCATGCTTGTCTTGGATTAGTTTTCTATTCGAGGTTTAACTGTTCATCCATAAACCCTACAATTTTTGTTTTAAACCTTTCTGCCTTCAGACATTGCTTTGAGCCAGGTTCAGGTTTCCTCCAGCAGTTGCTGTTTTTTTTCAAGGCACAGAATATGGGTGATGTTATGCTTCTCGTGGAGACATGTCGTCTACTGCAGAATTTTGTTCATAGCAGCGGTATTTCCAAATCCTTCTGCATGTTCCCTGGTTTTTTTATACTTGTTCTTATTCATTCATGTTTATTTTCTTTACAATCTTAATTGTTATGTAATTGAAGCCTGCTCTGAGTGAGTCTTCTATAATTTTCAGTCATTCACGATTTCCAATATATGTATATGTAATTATGTATATACACATGGGTGTACATACTCATCTCTCTTATGACCAGTAGGAAGGGACATTGTGCGGTGAGTGTTCGCATCACAATACATCTCACTTGTTTACATTGTCTCACATTTTTTGTCCACAAAGATCTATGTATATTTGTGTTTATGTGTCTTGTGAAACAGCAAAACCAGATTTCTTACCCTACCCGACTCATGTGGCTATATATAGTTTTAGATCTGCTGTCTGATCAGTGGTATAGTTGTATGGTGTGAGTTTAGGCTGAGATCTCAGAGTGTCAGATGTCAGTCTGGAAGTGGGTTATCTGCATGTCAATATTAATCTTTATGATATATTATCTTTCTTCTTCGCCTAGCCTCTAGTCTGTCCTTCCTTTCCCATGAATCATTTGGATCCTGCTTACTACTACTTACAAGTTCTTACTACATGACAGGCGATATTGTCAGCCTCTTTTCTGGCACGGTCTATTCATCTGAGCATAGTTTGGTGGATGTTAGGGTGAAGAAACTTGTACTTGCCTGCATCGAGGCTGTACATCACAATAGGTTATTATTTCCGTTTCTTTTCAGAATAATGTGGGATTGTTGGGTTTTTCTTTTTATGATTCACTGCCTTGTACCTTAGTGTGAGAATGGTGCTAACGACAATTTTTTCTGGTATACCATAGCAGTAGCAAATGAACTTGGGAATGAGGCGATGTTGTATACCATAGCAGTAGCATTTCCTGTACCAAATTTATTTCTTAATTGACTTTTACGAAAATGATGAACTCTTCTCGTATTAGTACTCAGGCTTGCGGTGAACCTGAAATTATTGTGGTCTGAAATTGATGAGTATTAAGTTGTGCTTACTTCTATTACAAATCATCAGGAACGATTTAAAGGACCAACTCTTAGCTACTCCTCAGTAAGCAAACATTTCAACAGCTCTCCTATTAGCATCTTAGGCTCATGCTTGTGTTGATCCTGATGATATTGTGATCTGAAATTGAAGAGTATTAAGTTGTGCTTACTTCTGACACTAAT